GTGTAAGATTGCTAAATTTGAGGAAAGGAATAAAGAAATAATGGAAAGAATACAATCCGGCCATCCCTTTCTTCTCCCCTTCTTCTGCCTTACCACACTTGAACTTGGGATCTTGATATGCCTTTTTCTACTATCTGATCTGTTTAGCCAAGGGTTAAAATATATCCTGAACAACAACACAAAAATCTACCAGAAGATCATACTAGTTGTTTGTTCTTTTTTCCCTACTAAGATAACCTTTATTGTCACTTTTTTCTATGAACACACTGGCACACATTAAAAAATGACATTCTGATGCCCGCTGTCAAAAGAAAATACACATACATATGCATATTCTATATAGATATATACACACACATGCACATATGATTCTCAAGACTCTTTTCCGCTATGCATTCAAAATGAACTGTGATTAATATATACATGTAAATACACACAAACATATATATTAAGAATTGTCCTAAAGATGTGAGTTCCAGGTATAGTTATAGAAGAGGCGATAGACATCACGATCTCTGGAACATTTAAACGTTATGCCTGATAACCCTGCGTTACCCCCCAGGGAGAGAAAGAGGCAACACACAATGGGGAAGGAGGCAGGGGGAAGTGCATCGTCATCTGTTAGCATGACTAAGGCAGAAAAAAAGTTAATTACAGGGGGAACACAAGGGTGTGGGCCTGTTACGCCCGCAATGACTAAATTGATCAGCATTACATAAAAGCAAGCAGCTCCTCAAGGGGGATTTTATACTCTGACGAACTCAGTAGGGGCCGACGAAAGCTTAGCACAAGTTTTAAAATAAAAAATTTTAAACTTTTAAACGTTCCGGAGATCGTGATGTCTATCGCCTCTTCTACATATATCTATATCCATATCTATATCCATATCTATATCTATATCTATATCTATATCTATATCTATATCTATGTAAAATTTATATTTTGCTGATAAAGAAATAAAGGGAGACTAGTATAGATCTATTTCAAGCTATTTAGCTCTCATCAGCTAGCCATGCCCTTTCTTGGATTCAAACTTGGGCTGCCTGCATGTTAGGCAGTTGTATTAACCTCTGAGCCACAAGTTCTCCTCCCTTCATCAGCTTGAGCCAGGGGAGAGAACAAGTGCTTTTCTATCGAGACACCTGGTCTACCCCAGCATGTGGGAGGGAGCATACTGCATCCCTTTCGCCTTTCAGCTCCAATCCAGGAGCCCTCAAGCAGTCGCATTCACGACAAACCATTTTATACCATATGCTGGGGTAGACCAGGTGTCTCAATTGAAACACACACACACACACACACACACACACACACACACACACACACACACATATATATATATATATATCACAGTTCATTTTGAATGCATAGCGGAAAAAAGAGTCTTGAGAGTTAACAAGATTGATACTATATGGCAGGGGTCCCCAACCTGTGGGCCATAGCCCACTACAGGGCCGTTGCCTCTTGACCACTGCATCATGTGAGTGTCTGGCCAATATGTATGCACCTGCATGTGTGCACACCCCACACACACCCTCACGCTAGCATCACTGTAAGCATTGCGCGGGCACTGGTATCACTGCGAGCATCGTGCACGCTCACAGTCACATTTGTGTTGTGTGCATGCTCATAGTCCCATTCACACATGCACATGCACATCTAAAGGCACCTGTCCTCCGCCCCCACCCCCCACCCCCCGGGCCTCCAACCCAGAAAGGTTGGGGAACTCTGCTATATAGAATGAGCTATTACAGAATCTAGTTATTCTGCTTTGGATACTGTGAAGCCTCCGCACAGAAATTAACAAAGAACACCGGTCATAGAGAGGATGTGCAAAGTCCCTGACAATACTGCAGGCCCTGGTTAAGTATCGCTTATATGCTGTATTCTGAATAGAAAGAAGTGAACTTCCAATAATCCTTTCTGCCATACCTACCACTCTCTGCACAGCCTTACTCTCTGTGTTTCCTGTTCTGTGTCAATTTGGCACAACCAGCTGGGCTACATATTCTTTTCCCCCATGGTTGGAATCCTCATCAATTAATTAGATGTGTGAGCCAAAAAGCTAAGTAGCTCTTGTAGGTTATAGATGCAAGGAGATTATCCATCATTCTAGAATAGCTGTCATGCAGTTTTTATAAGCCCAAGATACTTCACCATTCATAATATAAATAGTAAGGGATAGGTTTGTGGCAGTATAAAGCTCTCAGTTATGCTATTTGCCTTGCTAAGGAAATGAAATAAGTTCAAACAGAGATGACATTGGAAGCAAAGCTTAAAGAGTTCAGATATGTTTGTCCATTTCAGTAGTTGGATTTAACTTTTAAAAAACCCATATAAATTATCTGTTCTGTATTAAAATTATTAGGAAGCAAGCTACTCCTCTTAAATGAAAATGTACAGTTTAAAATAATTGCAGAGGTGTATATGTTAAAGCACATGCTCATCATACCAATTCACAATTAATGCAGCTCCTGAGCAATTGACATGCAGATTATAGATATCAGTCATATTAATATTTTAGCATGCTGTCATAGTAACACCTCCAGGCCCGGTATTATTTCTGATGCTAGCTTGTCTCATCACCATCAGGGTTCATCAGAGGAATTCATTATATTCTATTCATTCCTGTGTTTAAAAACAGAGGAAGCTTATTCTCAGCATCTAAACCTGTTCCTTTTGCCTTTTTCCAAATGGCCTAACAAGATAAGGATGCACAGAGAGCTGGGTTTCTGGAATTCTTTCCAGCATGTTAATAAGAGCTCTCATCTGGGTCATGTGACCAAGTGGAAGGAGGGTGGGTTGCTTAGAATGGAAGAATCACCCCATATTTCAGAACACTCCCAAGCTGCCTCTCCTTTAAGTAAGGGTGAGCAACTACAGACCTTTTATGACCTGTGGACTTCAACTCCCAGAATTCATGAGCCTGGCAATTCTGGCAGTTCCCAGAATTCTGGGAATTGAAGTCCACAGGTCATAAAGGGTTCATAGTTGCCCATCCCTGCCCTTAAGGATGCATTGGAAGAATTGTCTTTTCTGCAGATTTCAGCTTGATCTGCCCATTTTTTTTAAACAACCCTTTATCTTGTCTCCTTCCCACCATTTCTTCTCTCTTGCTGGTTCCACTTATGTGGTAGAGATTTTAAAAAATCCAAAACCTTTAGCGGTACTGTTGTTGTTTCTGTATTACTACTAAATAGAATAGAATAGAATAGAATAGAATAGAATAGAATAGAATAGAATAGAATAGAATAGAATAGAATAGAATAGAATTCTTTATTGGCCAAGTGTGATTGGACACACAAAGAATTTGTCTTTGGTGCATATGCTCTCAGTGTACATAAAAAGACAAGATAAATTCGTCAAGAATCATAAGGTACAACTCTTAATGATAGTCATAGGGTACAAATAAGCAATTAGGAAACAATATCAATTTAAATCGTAAGGATACAAGCAACAAAGTTACAGTCAAGCAGTCATAAGTGGGAGGAGATGGGTGATAGGAACGATGAGAAGACTAATAGTACTAGTAATGCAGCCTTAGTGAATAGTTTAACAGTGTTGAGGGAATTATTTGTTTAGCAGAGTGATGGCGTTCGGGAAAAAACTGTTCTTGTGTCTAGTTGTTCTGGTGTGCAGTGCTCTATAGCGCCGTTTTGAGGATAGAGTTGAAACAGTTTATGTCCAGGGGTCTGTAAATATTTTCAGTCCTCTTTTTGACTCGTGCAGTATACAGGTTCTCAATGGAAGGCAGGTTGGTAACAATTGTTTTTTTTTGCAGTTCTAATTATCCTCTGAAATCTGTGTCTGTCTTGTTGGGTTGCAGAACCAAACCAGAAAGTTATAGAGGTGCAGATGACAGACTCAATAATTCCTCTGTAGAACTGTATCAGCAGCTCCTTGGGCATACTTTGGGTATACTTTGGGTGAAACATACTTGGGGCATACTTTGGGTGAAACAAAATAGTCTACCAGAATAGGCCATTGCTACTTGTTTGGCCTCCAAGACATTATTGCCAACCTTGCAAGTTTGCTAGAGCTATGCCAGCCATGCTTAAAAAGATAGAGAGGGAAAGTCTTCTTGTGAAAAATTTTTTTATGCATTTTCAACTTCAGAAGAAATAGTTTTAGAACCAAGATAGGATTTTTTTTTTTAAGCACTTCAGATACCATGACAATTCTTTGGAAGAGTAGGTTCTAAAATTGTTATTGGCAGAACCCAATAACAACTTTTAAGGTAAGAACAAAGCCCATCGTTTTATGCTTTCATTGTTATAGACTCCAATTTCTAATTAAATTTCATGCAATTTCTGGCAGGAGAAAAAAAATATGCATCTCTCATTGTTAATATATTTGTGCATAATTTGGGCAACTTTGATCAGTTATGTCATGTCAGGCATCCGGTCGCTTTCATATTGATTTGTGCATTAATCTCATTTTTTTGTTTGTTTTAGAATTAGCATACCAAAACTGTTCTGTGAGTTATCATGCTAATATGTTCTATCAAAGACTAAATTAACATTTGATTGCAGCTAACCAGTGGCGATGCTTCACATAAATTCAATGGATGGTGCCAGCCTTTCTGCATTACAGCTGCTTATATTAAGGGAGATCAAAACAGCATTCCTACAAAATAACATGATAAGCATCAAATATTCTCCTGATGAACAGAGTGACTCGACTTTTGCACTCATTAGGAGATTTCTTTTGACTATGGCAGGGAAGCAGATGATATCAAGAAGATAGAAAGGAATGCTATTTGTTACAGGCTTATGGCTGTGAAAAACCACTGAGATAACATAATGGTTCATGCTGCCTCTCCCCAGAATTGTCTTCTCAAACCAAAACTCATGAATATCAGAAATGTTTAAAAACCAGGAAAGGACAGGAATGATAAAAGTTAGGGTTACAATATTTAAATGATGATGGTCATTTAATGACGGTCCTTGATTTTATTGCCATTATCTTGAGATATAAGCTTGTCATCCATTTTTAAATAGTAATGCTGAATGCCAGGAGCTGGGACAACGAAGCTGATGCATAATTGGCTGCCAAGAAGTCAAGGGAATTGCAAATGAAAGTCTTTTAGCTTCCAGTGGAATTCATTCATCAAATTGCACAGTGAGTAATATGGAAAGTCTCTTTCCTATTTTCCTTTCCTATGGCATTTTTTCCAAATAATATCTATTGCTAAGACTTGCAAGGTGCAGTTTTGGAATTTCACTCAATATGATATTGAGAAACATCTGTTTAGTGTTATACATTTCTACTTGGATGTAAGGTGTTTCATGTAGAGTAAATAAGCACACTACAAGCCATCATTGTGCAGAAACCATTTTACTAGCGAGTGAGTAATACAACAGGAACAGGAAATGCATCACAGGAACAATAAAGATGAATCCTAGAGGGGCAATGTGAATGATACAGGAAACAACTACAATAGAGAGGGATGATAGAGCTGCATATAAGGTAGACATAACACCTGTAACAGACAAGTCCAATTCTTAGAATCAAGAATGAAAGCTTAAATTCCATTTTGCTTAATGGGATTTACCTTAATTATTACAGTTGGACAGATCTTCAGATTTCATTCCAAAAGTTTGCTTCAGTGTGGTGACATGAATATATTGTCTGCCTGCCACTCTTCAGGAACTTCAGTTACAGTGGCAACGGATGCCTCTTTGGAAGACATGAAGGGTTAAGTTTGAGGAAAGAACATCTTGGAGACAGTTGTTCCAACTTAAGATGCTATATTACTATTTCTCTGCCCTAAGAAGCATTCTCTTCAGCCACAATCACTTATAAAAACAAGCAAAAGCATTATAAGAGCATTCCTTGTTTCCTTCCCATAGGAAGTTGGTCTAGTTGGTCAATTTGGAAAAAGGGTGCTTCAGACTCACCGGGAAGATTCTTTATATATTTTAATTGGACATGGTACAAATTAAACTACGATTCACTTTATCTGCATTGAATGTTGCTTATGTATGACAAGCCTAATATACTTATGTGACTATGTTTGTATTTAACTGGCTAATGGAGGATTAAAAAACAAATCCTAACATACAATACATTTCTATTCTTTCAATAAGGCTTGCAGATCTCATTTACACTCACAATCCCTAACTGCTGAACTGGATTGCCAGTGTCATGCAAAATTTAGTTGGATAAACAAATATGATTGAGAAGGCTAAGAGTGCTTTAAATTGAAGAAATCCTACTCTAAAACCCATGAAAAAAATGATAAAAATATAAGCCTCCATCAGGGTCTTTATGCTCCAGATCAGTGGTGGGTTGCCCCCAGTTCGCACCGGTTCTATAGAACCAGTAGTAAAACTGGCGGGAGGCTCCGCCCACCGACCCCGACGTCATCAGAACGCTTCTGTGCATGCGCAGAAGTGCGGGCACACAGCCCCGGTGCAAACCGGTAGTAAAGGTAAGTAGAACCCACCCCTGCTCCAGATCAACATTTTTAAAGGGTCAACCTCTTCTGCCAGATTACTGCAGTTTCTTGGATCCTATTACTATAATGTGCTCCTCACAGATTTAGGAACCATTTCTACCTTTCATTTGTTTAGTATGTGAGATGGAAAATTAATTAAGATTTTTTTTAAAAAAAAAATCCTCCCATATTTATCAAATACAACATGCTAAACAGGTGTGAAATATTTTCGGTGAGAAATGATGTTATAGCAGAGATCTGAAAGTACCACGACTGCAGTCAAGATGCCTGAATAGTGGAACAGTCTGCTTGCCAACTCTAAGGCAATCTTTCACTAATCATATTATATTGGTAAATCTTTAGACTGTAATTAGAAAATGGCTTGCAGCAGGTCTTTTTCTGATTTGTAAATGAAATTAGGCAAAGCAATAGAATTTATCTCAGTAATTTGCCTATAATGTTGTTTCCTTTGCATCAGGTCTCCTAGATAAAGCATTCCTCCGAATCAAGAGCCAAAGCTTTCTTTTGTTTAGAAAGCATATCGATCATTGCCACCGAACAAACAATGCTCTGAATTGTGCTTCTACGGAAGAGAATGGGGGAGGGATGGACATCAGCCACATTTTGATGCTATTGACATGAATGACCTGATGTCATTTTTGTTGGCAACTGATGCAAATTATGCATGACATCATTGTGAGTCCAATGGATGTCTGTGCTGCTTTTGTTTTGTTTTTAATAGTAGTTTTAGTAACACTTAACATTTAAAAAGATAAACCGTAATGTCTGTAGAGATACTCAGTCATCCAGGTCATGGTTGTCCCAAAGGTGCTTTTTTCAGGAGACAACTGGACTTTCTTGTTTTTTTTTTTTTTTTTAATTTGATTTATATGCCGCCCTTCTCCGGAGACTCAGGGCGGCTTACAGTGCGTTAAGCAATAGCCTTCATACTTTTGTATATTTATACAAAGTCAGCTTATTGCCCCCACAAACTGGGTCCTCATTTAACCTACCTTAGAAAGGATGGAAGGCTGAGTCAACCTTGAGCCTTGGAGAGATTCGAACCAGCAGTAAATTGCAGGCAGCTGTGTTAATAACAGGGTGCTTTAAATCACTGTAGTACCAAGGCTCTTTTCTTTGAAGATGTTTCGCTTCTCATCCAAGAAGTTTCTTCAGCTCTGACAGGATAGTGGGGAATGGAAGGGTTTATATTCCTTGCAGACAGCTGGTCATTTACATCTTTTTAGAGGGTTGAAGCACTCTTTGTCTGCAAGGAATATAAATCCTTCCATTCCCCACTATCCTGTCAGAGCTAAAGAAGCTTCTTGAATGAGAAGCATAACATCTTCAAAAGAAAAAACAAGAAAATCCAGTTGCCTCCTGAAAAAGCACCTTTGGGATAAACTGTAATGCAAAGTGAAAAATAAAAGAAGAAAATATAATGCAGAAGAAGAAAAAAAATCCACACACACCCCAACTACACCCATACTGGCATTAACTTCATCATTTTCCTGACAGTGGAATTACTTACCTCCAGAAGTTATGAATGCTCCAACACTGGAAGTTTTTAAGAAGAGATTGGACAACCACTTGTCTGAAATGGTATAGGATTCCCTGCCTAAGCAGAGGGTTGGACTAGAAGACCTTCCAACTCTGTTATTCTATTCTATTCTATTCTATTCTATTCTATTCTATTCTATTCTATTCTATTCTATTCTATTCTATTCTATTCTATTCTACTCTACTCTACTCTACTCTACTCTACTCTACTCTACTCTACTCTAAATAGCCCACTATGGATTTTCTCCCCAATCTTTTTAAAGAGGGGAAGAAGTGATTTTCTTACTGTCTTGTGTTTTACTAGAGGATCTGTGTTCATGCACTGCCAGACCATGCAACTGAGTGTTTCCCACAAGTTAATGGCAGGCTACATTAGCCATGTCATGAGAACACAGTCATATGTAGGAGAAAGATGATATATATTACTATTATATTTCATGTAGTTCTCAACAGCTTTGTGACATATGATCAGAAATATCTAACATTAAGGTATAGGATTTAGTTATGCTAAACACAGAATACAATTGGTTTGCATCTGTTCATATTATTTATTATTTTTTATTTATTAGTCATATTTCTATGCCGCCCACTCTCCGAGGACTCTGAGCGGCTTACATCAAAGACAGTATACTAAATAGCATATTGCCCCCAACAATCTGGGTCCTCATTTTACCCACCTCGGAAGGATGGAAGGCTGAGTCAACCTTGAGCCGGTGAGATTTGATCCGCTGATCTGCTGAACTAACAGTCAGCTGAAGTAGCTGCAGTACTGCACTCTAACCACTGTGCCACCTCAGCTCTTACAATTAAATTAACCTAATTTAACATGATTGGAAAAGATTAATCATGGTTATTTGTTGTTACTTGCAAGGTATTTTTTTCTGTGCAATTTTGTACATTAGCAAACCAAATCAAGAAGATGAGAATAAAACATCCATATGAAAAACAAACTAATTATGATAGCTGTTTTGACTATGAAACATAATATACAACATAAACATTTATTGGAGCATCAAAGCATGAATACTAAGCAATTGTTTTTTTAATATAATTTTTTTTATTAAAAGTTTTACAAAGAACACAAAAACTAAGGCAAACTAATAAGAGTAAAGTAGTAAAGAAAGAAAAAAAAGCAAACATACAGAAGGAAAAAAATAAAAAGAAGGAAGAAACATTTAATGTCAGTTGCAGCAAATATAAGTATCATTTCTATGATTACAAAAGAAAGTTCACTTTTTTCTCTAATCATCAAAACCACATGTGAAAAGTACGTTTTTTCTATTCTATGCAAAAAGATCTATAAAGGGTTCCCCATCAATCATAAATGTAGATTTTCCCCCCCTCATATCAGAAATTAATTTAGTCATCTCCACAAGTTACATTTTCTTCACCAACCATTTCTTCATTGTGGGTAGTGCTGAATCTTTCCACTTTTGAGCATATAATACAGAGGTGGGTTTCAGCAGGTTCTGACCAGTTCTGGAGAACTGGTAGTAGAAATTTTGAGTAGTTTGGAGAACCGGTATTAAAAATTCTGACTGGCCCCACCCAGTGGTGGGATTCAAATAGTTTAACAACCATTCCCTGCCCTAATGATTTCTTCCAACAACCAGTTCACCAAACTGCTCAGAAAGTTAACAACCGGTTCTCCCGAAGTGGTGCGAATTGGCTGAATCCCACCACTGGGCCCGCCCCCATCTATTCTCTGCCTCCCAAATCCCAGCTGATTGGGAGGAAATGGAGATTTTACAGTATCCTTCCCCTGGAATGGGGTGGGAATGGAGATTTTACAGTATCCTTCCCCTGTCACGCCCAAGCTATGCCACACCCACCAAGCCACATCCACAGAACTGATAGTAAAAAAATTTGAAACCTACCACTGATATAATAGTCTTGCTGCAGTCGTCATACATAAAACAAAGTTCCATGACTAGTTTATTGTCCATTAGTCTCAAAAGAAAAGTCTCTGGTTTCACTTGTACTTTAGCCTTTAAAATCTTCTGAATTAACGTATGTATTTATTGCTAAAAGAAAAATAATATTTTTCACTATATTTTTCAACTATGAAGAATCCTTCCTAAAATATAAGATATAAGATATAGAGAAAAATTGAATATATCCTCTAACAAAATCTAACATTAAGTGATTAGCATTTGTATAGAAAAGTTGTCATCATTGGCTATTTTTTGTGTGGGGGGGTTACTTTTAACTTTCATACCTAGTAATCTTACCACATGATCCAAAATTTTTAAGTTTTTCATCCATCCTTCCTTTATGCACTTATTCTTCATGTTCCACTCATTCCGATTATGTTCCTGTCTCCCATTTGATTTGTGTAAATTAGGTCTATCAGAACTAGTCATGAATTATTCTAGGAGGTCTTTCATTTAGCTGTTTGAGAACTCCACTTCCTTGGTAATTAGGATCTCCTGCAGTTTACTTTGATTATACACTCTTCCTCTAACTTTTATACCATAGAATGAAGCAGACTGCAGTACATTTCAATGCAGGAGCATTTTCTTCATCCTGTAATCTTCAAATTTATAGTTTCGATTACCTTTTATAGAGGACCTTGGGAGAGCTTGATCCCAGGGTAATAGTTAAGTTGGTGAGACAAAGACCACCCAAGATGGTTCATACAATGTACATGAATTGAATTAAAACTAATGCCTCCGCCTCCCTAACTTTAAATAGAGACATTTTAACAAATGAAACTGAAATTCAGTAAATATTCTCTCAAATAGAATTTAGCTCCTGGTTATGACATCGACCCGTGATGGTGAACCTATGGCACATGTGCCCGAAGTGGCACATGGAGCCATGTTGCTTGGCATGTGCGGCATCGCCTGTTCCTCTTCTGGGTTTCTGGTATGCATGCGCATGCAATGATCAGCTGGCCTTTTTGCATGAGGCAGTGCCGGAAACGAAGAGCTGGTCTTCCATTTTCCTGTGTGAGCATGTGCGCTGGCCAGCTGATTGTCACGCACGCATGCGCACCAGAAACCCAAAAAAGTAGCTGGCTGAAACCAGAAGTTCAGTAGCTGAAACCAGAAGTTCATTTTCGGGGATGCGCATGCGCCCTGGGCAGCTCCACTTCCTAGTTGCAGCTCCACTCGGTGCCAAAAACGTTCGCCATCACTGACATAGACAATCCATGCCATTTTCTTGATCACCATTCAAGGTGGTTTGCCACGCATAACATTTTAGCAGAGAACAGTTTGGATATGATTAAAGTTTTCAATTTTCTACATATCTCTTGGCAAGAAATTCTAAAAGATACAGAATCATTGCTGAAAATGCTATATTTTTCAGGACTTAAATTTCGGCTATTCTCAAAGCAGGCACAACTCACATTATTTTTATCTTCTTTGGAGATAGTGCTATTCTGGCTGCCCTCTCTAGGACCTCATCAAAGTAATGATGATGATGTTCGATAATTATAAGTCCATTGGAACCGTGCTGTATCTTGTACCATCTTTTTTGCTCATTCATGGACTTTCTTTCATTTTCTGCTACCCTTCTTAAACCCACCCTCATGCTCCTATGGATCAGTTCAAAGCCAAAATCTTTACAGTTGAAAAAGATTACAGTCAAACATCTTTGTCCATTGCCATAAGAAAAAGATGCTGCATAAGGATTATCTAGATAAATTGTAGCCTAGAATAGTATTGCAGGATCCAAACTTGGTCGTTACCAAGATGAGAGGTTTTGTCTTCTGAGCTTTCGGACTCTTACTGGAGCCCATCTTCAAGGAACTTTTCTCTAGCATAGTATGTGCTGTTCTTTGTGTAGTATTTATAGTGCCTGTTGTAAATGGCTTTTTAGATGTTGATTGGGGTGTGTTGACTGCTGGCTTTTAAGTTATTAGCTGTCATCTGCTTGTGCTGCCTAGGTCTCACCTTCTAAGTACTTGATATGCTGGTGGTAAATCAGCACCCCTGTTAA